GGAGAGCACCATTCTTCAGGCAAGGGTATGTGAGTAGCTGCGCTCCCCTGCCTGACCCTCCAAACAAGCTCCCAAAGCTGTCGCACCGTTGAAAGAAGGAGGGGTGTTGTTTTACTCCATCTTTAATATTAACACAGAGAATTTATCAGAGTAGAAAATGTTTTCTTAATTCTCAAATGGTGCTGACTTCGATGAAGGTCTCTTTTAAAGCACGAGTAGCTAGTCTTGTGGCTGCTTAGGGACGGCTCCAAGGTGATGATTTTTTTCTGTCATGGAAGTTTTCACGAATTTGCGTATCTTTCTTGTGAGGGAGCCGTGCTAATCTCCTCTGAATAGCTCCAACTTTAGTATATGTGCTGCCGAAGCAAGCACACAATAATGATTTTTGAGAGCAAAAACTGCAGACCCCAGCTTTCTCTAAATGCTCCAAATTATTCACTTTAGTAGAAGTATTATATTCATGCAAAGTGGTATGATCTATGTCAGCGATTTTTAACCAGTGCGCAGCAAGAATTTTTAAAACATGCAATACCAGACTATTTAGTCAGGGGCACTGACCTCTTTTCCCTTAGATTGTCAAATAAAAATATAACAATAGCCAACACAATAGCCATCCGGTGTGCATGAATCAAAATTACACCTTTTTATTTGTCAGATTGGCAAAAAATACATTTTTTGCTGTGCCGCAGATTTTTAGTAATTAGTTTATGTGCCATGAGATGAAAAAGGTTGAAAACCACTGACCTACGTAATTAAGTTGTATTAAACTGAATAATTGCTGGTATTCTGTATTAGTGTCTCTACTACGAACACAGCCCCACCCCCGAGAGGACAAGATTATCATGCTTTCCTAAATATACAGCAGTAATCCCTAAGACAGCAAGTCCTCTCCTGGTTATACAATGAGAAAGTCTAAACAAACCTTGCAGCAAACATTTCCAGAACTCAAACCATATTTTTAAAAGTTTAACAATACTCATTTCATTTTCAAGATAAGACATATAAAGTCGATGAAAGATCGTCTACTCTGATATTTATTCACTTGCTCAAAAACATTAAATAAGGACTAAATCTAAAGGACTAGTGGGGAAAACCCACTAAATCAATGGGAGTTGGAGCAGGTTCCAAAGAAATGTAAGTCATGCTTTCTTTGCCCCTGAGATATTCACAGTCTAGTTAAGAAATAACTATTACCAAGCATTTTAAACCTGACTTAAAGGTTGTGGAGAAATCAAACTTTTGTTAATCTATATATTTTAAATGTCATCCATTTAACAGCCAAGGTCAGGTTACCACCTCTTCCAAGCTTGTGAGGAAATACAAATTAAAAACAAAAAAAATTTCTTGCACAGCTAAAAGTTCTTTTGTAAAATGTGTCTTTGTAAAGAGCCTAAATGTACCACTTCTGGGACTCTAATTATTATACATCAAGCTTGCTTAGAAAGGGATCCATGTGTACATACAAGTGCAAGCATGCTATGAGCTCTGCACATGGTGTCACCCAACGCTATAGTACAACAGTGCTGAGTGTCCGGGAGGTGTCAGGCGCTTAGAGACAGGCCGAGAAGTTGAAAGCAAGAAGAGAGAAGGAGGGGGGGACAGGCCCAGCTGCGTCTGGAGAAGCTGTCGGGGAGCAGAGTCCAGCCCGCAGTAAGCTGGAGGGCTCTCCCCTGGCAGCAGAAAACTAAGGAGGCAATGGGCCTGGTGCAGAGGCAAGAAGGCAGAAAGGGCCACGGGATTAGGACAGTTTGCTTCTGGAAGAGGCACGTCCATCTAGCCAGGGTGGGCGACGGGATCGCATTTTAAGCCTGAAAATAGAAGTCAATAATTCAAGCCATTATATGTATACCAAAGAGCAAAAATAATCTAAAGATACATGAACTTTGGTTACAGATAAAAACTCATGCTCCCCACACAATCTGTCCACAGGGAAGCTACTGGAGAGGAGAAAAGAGGGAAACCGAAGCTGGGTCCTGCATGCAAGGCATTTGAAACACGTAAATGCTCGATTCTGAGGACTGCCTAGACTGTCGCTGCTACAGTAGTTGTGCAGGACACGTACCAGGACCAGAGAAGGTTCATACCAAGACACAGGCTTGCTCAGGTCGGGTGGATGTCAAAGGCCACGCGGAGGAATGTCTGCAAACTCTTGCTTCCTCTGTCATCAGCGGCCCTCTGATTTTTCTGCTCGCTGCCCATCTTCACTTTACTACTACTCTTTACCAGAAAACGCTCCGCATGATGACCACACCATCTCTGATGCAGGCTCAAAACCTAACATATAAGGTCCTCCCATATGTGCTAAAATGTTCCCTCAATACACTCAGCAGAAGACAGTAGGGCCAATGTCATCAGCTAGAAAAAAGAGGTTTAGAAAAGTCAGGATTTTAAAGCTAGAAAGGGAAGCTAAAGGAATACCTGTCAAATGGGTGAGGGAGATGGACTGCGGACCCCCACAAAGACCTCCCTTCCAGGGACTGGAACAGAAAAGCAAAATGTGTAGGGCAAGTGGGACCAGTGGGTGGATGCACAGTTTTAGCCTAAGGCCTGTGACCTCAAAGGTGGGTAATTAAGGCGCTTCGGGATGAAAATGGGTGTGGAGAAAAGGAAGCTGGATTCCTGAGAAGTTTTGTTTACTGCTTAAGAGTCTGCAAAGCTAACAATGTAACCCTGAATTGCATTTGTGAAACTACACAGAAACTCTATGGAATTGATCCTAACCTAGCCTCACCCTCTAATAACATTCATTTTCAAGCATGAAACATTCTGTGTGTGTGTTGGGCTGCAGAGAACAAGGTAGGAACAGAAAGCACCAGGAAAGATGCCAGAGAAAACAGGACCCAAGGCAAAGTCCTTGATCAGAGAAACAGCCCTGCTTTTTACTCTTGAGTTACAGCAGCAAAGAATGAATCCGGTATCTGTCAAGAGCACGCCTGCGTGTGTGCTATTCTCTTCTTAATCACTCCACGTGAAATGTGTGTGCAGGACATACAGAAGTGCATGTAAGCATTGCTCATGCCCCTCAAAACATGCTGGAAAATGCTGACAAACACGTTCCAATACAAATCTCTTTGTCTAATTATGTTCTTAAGTGATACATGAAACTATACCATGTAGAGGCATGCTCCAAGGAGTAGAAAAACCAACAATATAAGAGGGGAAAAACCAGTACAGTAAAGGCCTGTCACTCAAAACAATTTTTTTAAAGTACCAAAAAAATACATCTTTATTTGCTGACTAATTATGCATCTATACTCCTTCCTTTTCCTCCCATTACCAAGTGCCTTCTCCTCCCATTACCAAGTGCCTTCTCCTCCCATTACCAAGTGCCTAATTCTCTATATTTCTCCTTTGCAATTACCAAGAAAGGCCTAGATAATCGTAAATGGCCCTCTCAAGTCAGCTTTGGTATCAGGCTACATCACAGGTGTCTGACCTATGGATCAGCTGTCCTTCAGTCAAGTGTCCATCCCTAGACCAATCCTTGTGACTGGTGGCGGGGTTGGAGGAGGCTTGGGTCAGGTTAAACAGACTAGAGGAATGATCTGGACCCTCCTCTCGGCAGGAGTGACCAGCTTTGTTCGGAGGAGACTGTGGGGATGCCAGGCACCAGCTGGGCTGGCCAGCAGTGAGTTAATTCAAAAATTAAGAGAGGGTAAGACACATTCAAAGGTCCTGTGAGCGCTAGAGCCGAGGACTATTTCCTGAACTATGCTCCAGATAAAATTTCAGCCAAGCCATTCTACAAATAACAATAATGGTAGATCTATTCTCAAAAATATTTCAGCAACTAGCTGGCCAAATTAAACAAGAAATTCAGGTGGGGAGAGAAACAATACAGAGATAGAAGAAACAATATATGGAACACAACCAACCAGAGTTCCAGCCCCAACAATGCCATTACATCACCACATGACCTTGGGCAAGACACTTTAACCCCTCCTGCCTCAGGCTTGTCATCCTTGGTTACAAAATGACAGGGATGTGAAGACTGGATGCAGTGACAGATGCAAAGGTGATTTTTAAAGTTGGAAGAGCTGCTCAAATGTCATATTTACAACTATGAGTTGTCATTAACTCTATGTTGACTGTTGAGGAGCAACTGCACACACGCCAAATCTTACTTCAGTGAATAATTACCCTGTCCAGGGACCATCTGGTCGCATTTTTTTCAACCCTGTTAAAACATGGGACATGTTAACTCTCAGCTCTCGCACTCTGTTAGCACTTATCTCTAGCTGTGGTTTCATCTGTAATATGCCTTCAGGGATTCACCTCAGTGCATCAAACCTGCTGGCAGCAGCCTGACATGAGCTGCACAGCATGTATCTGAGAGAAATACAATCAGTCAGTCCTGTGGCTAATGACAACTGTCAGCTGAATCTGATGGTAGCTTTCTCCAACAACTGTCGGAGTATCCAAAACTTACAACAAATCCTAATGCCCTCCCACTGCATCTGTTTAAAGAATTCGAATGGTGGGAAGAACCATAAAAGAAGAGTGCAGCTGTCGTGTTTGGGGCCCAGATTTATTTCCATGCAATATCTTGGGAAAATAAAATACAGTTTTCTTTATATTATGCCCCAGTTCCTTTCCACAAAATCAATTACCTTCCAGACCCTCTCCCCCAAAGTGCTCAGTTTTACAGAGAACCAATTCAGGAAACTGAGGATGTTTTCGTGGGGTTTTGTTTTTGTTTTTGTTGTTCCATTATGGAGAGTCTGACACTTCTACTATACCAACAACAGCAGCAGGAAAGGGCTTACCAAATATTTGCATCATTGACTAGAAACCCGGGCATTCCCGTGGCTTCTGAAAAGGGAGCTCTGCGTCTTTAAGGTTCGGCAGGCTGGGCTGGGGCTGGGAGGCAGACGGTGGCTGCAGCTGCAGCAGGACTGGCCCTCTCTTCTCCTCCCCTCTCCTCCCCTCTCCTCTCCTTTCCTCTCCTCCCTTCTCCTCCCCTCTCCCACCCTATCGATGAGGTTCAGTGAGCCAAGGTGGAGGCTGGGAAAAGAATGGAGCTGTCCCAGCTCCTCAATGAGATCAGGGCAAACTATGAGCAGCTCCTCACCAGAAATCAGATAGAGACGGTGCTCCCAGCAAGGATCCAGGTAATGACCCATTCAGACAGGCACCTCCAGGATAAGGAGACAGCCCATGTCACCCCGTCCCTGCCCCGGCCTCTCTGAGGTACAGTATTTCCTTTTCAATGCAGCATATACTGGGGAAGGAATGTAGGTCTGCTGCGGTGTGACGGGGACCACAGGGAAGTGCTGTGCCGGTACTGTTAAATGACCGTGAAATAGATGTCGATTGATGCATTTAATTTTTATATGAATTACAAGATAACGATTGTTAATTAAACATGGGGTCTAACATACAGTAAAATGGTGCACTTGAACCCCTTTTAGACTTCCTCCAAGGAGGGGGCATTTCAAATACCCTTCGAAGATATTAAGGAGTTATTTACAGAGATCACTGAAATGACATCTTAAAAATGACAAGCTTTATAGTAAGATTTAATAGCTTGCACACTTTGTAGAGAAAAACTAACTAAAATATTTCTAAATCTTTTAATGAGTTCAGTTGTGTGTGTTTTTTACCAGATTGTTATAAATAGAAATCATCTGGGCATGAGAATAGGGCTTTTAGAACAATTCTGATATAAACTGGGACAATCAAAATCCCCCACATTGATAGATTCTCCACTTAGATAACAGATTTTTGCTTTTGTGCTATGAGAATGTTTATTTCCAATACTTAGGCATGCGATATTTAAGTTTTAAAAACAAGAGAGAGCCAAGTTAAATAAGGGTTAAATCCTAATTTTATAGACTGACTTTGTTTTAAAGTGACAATCACCTTTAGCAATTAATTATGATCTCTAATCTTTAAATAAATATTTCAGAAATGAAGATTCAGAAATGCATGGATTTTTTTTTTTTTTTTTTTTTTTTTAC